TCGTTTTTTTTTTTTTTTTTGCGACGGCGGGTACAATCAGGAATTCTAAAGTTGGCGAATGTCTCTCCAGGCTCTAATAGCCGTACGTTCTCATAAAACTGTTTCTTTCCTCCCTCACCTCTTTCCCGTTGAGGATGAAGACGAGCCGGGCCGGAGGGTAGCTGGCCGCCGAGCTGCATTCCACTTCGAGCGTCTCGCCCGCCTCGTAAGAGGGTTGAAGGCCACGGAGGGTGGGTCGTTCCTTGGGGGGGATCGCCAAGCTCATGTTTGCCTCGCCGAAGATCGTGAGGAAATTCGGCCCCTCCGAGGACACCTCGCACCCGTACAACCCCACAAGGTTCACCTTCACTGTCGCGTGTAAATTATTTCCAATTATTTTTGCAAGAAATGCTTCGATTTTTATTATTTTTTTTTCGAATTAATCCTTGGATTTGGACGGTAATCATCTTTGGTCGAGGTATTATGAGAAATAATATTGATATTATTATTATACGGATTCAAATAATGAATTTGAATAATTGCATACTTGTTTAGGTATTAGTTGTAATTTGTAATACAAATTAATGTATTTATAAGTATAGTTGTTGTTGGATATATTTAAAAAAAAAAAGAAAAGAGATAAGAGATTTGAATAATATGATATGATTTATTATTTAATGAGTAAAAAAATTGAAATAAATTTTCATCACTGATGTCGACTAGATTAAAGTGTACGTTTAATGAAATATTTAAATTGGAAAAAAGAATATATTCTCATTCTTTTTTATCCCTGTTAATAAAATCTTAATCCACTGAATAATAATTAGAGAAGGTATTTAAAGTAAGTAAAGTATAAGTAAATTGAATGAAACTGTTATTATATCCGATTAATAATAATTTCGCTATCATCAAAATTAAATTCTTTTTCCATATTATAATATTTTCAGTTTACATTTTTATTAAGCTTTAAGTATAATATTTTCTTTAGAATTTCCACTAAAAAAAAAAAAAATAATTCATTAAGCAATTATAGTTATAAATTAATTTCAATCCACAACTCTCTTTGGAAGCTTATTCTAAAAAATGTTTAATATTTTATGATAACATTTGAAATATATATTTTTAATATGTTGAAAAAAGAATCGTGCAATAATATTGATTAAAGAATTAATTTTTAACGCATTCCACTCTTCATATTTTCTCTCTTTTACACGCCCTTCCAATTTTTCCCTATTCAAACAAAAATTTATTCTTACCAACCGCACAAACAATATCTGGGCGAAATGAATCGCTCTTCAACCATTCTTCATTCAGCACGAATCTCCAAAAAAAAAACTTTTTGTTCAAATAAAGTTATCACGCTGCAAAACAAAGTCTGCTCTTTCACCGCTTGTAATATGCTCTAATTCCTTCCAGAAAAAAATGTTCATAATCGTCGCAACGAAGACGATTCTAATGAAGAATTTAAACACGAATTTCGCCGTTCTTCTCGTGAGATTTTGATTTAAAAAGCGTATAAATGGTTTCTCAATCTGTAGATTTACCATTTCAAAAGAAGTCACTTCAAAAGATTAATTATTTTTAATTATTATTATTTTAATGAAGTATTAGTGTTTTAATGATTCTTGATAAATGAAAAAATATCATTTGGGATAATTTGTTATTTAAAAATTGAGAAGCACTGAAGTTCTATACATTAAATATGTATTTATTTCAATTATCTGCAATTAGTGATTCTTAACTATCTTAGAGTAAATTGATTTTCGAGAATCGTATGAATTTTAACGAATAATTAACAATGTGATCTATTCACGATACAATAATCTTTAAAACATTATAATTAATCAAAAATTCTTTTCTTTTAACGAGAAACTTCCATTTATAGAAACTTAAAAAAAATATTCTTCGATGCAAAATTACCCCTCTCTCCCAAAATTAATAAAATGCTATTCCTAATATTATATAAAGAATCATCATCGATGAACAGAGTTGAAATCAAAAACAATAAGACTTATTCTCTCCCTTGAAAATTTATTTCAAAGATCATCGTTAATGAATTAACAAAGTTAGATCGGTTATTTTTAGAAGCCTCGAAGATTAGAAATTTTACGAAAGATGTGAAATAGCGTGGATCCCTGTGGAACAGTGAAAAATGGGCGAGAATAGAAATTTAATAGGGGCCAGTCTCGTTCACAAGAAGGAAAGTTCATTGGTTATTTAAGCGAAATTTCAACTACCCCGTTAACTTTCATCATTCTCTCGGTACAAGTTGGGAAAATCTCGCGGAGTTGTTGTTTCGATTTTAATTTGAAATTGGGAGAGAATCTTCAGGATTTTTTTTTTTACAAATTTGAAGAAAATTCTTATTTTTTTATCTTTGTTGTGGTATTTTTTTATCTTGGGAAAAAGTTAAAATTAGTTAGATTAAAGTGAAGAGAGAACGAAGAAGATAAGTTTGACAATGATTGAATTTTAACTTAAAATGTGTAAATTTATATAGTGTAGTTGGATGTAGAGACTTCTTTAGAAACTGTGATATATTTAAGGGGATGGTATTTTGAAAGAAAAGATGTATCATGAAGAGAAGAAGTTACTACTAAAGGAATATTATTCTGAAAATTCTAATATTCAAACAAATCTTTATAAAAAATTAAAAATTAAAAAAAAAAATCACAATCAAAATTATTTCATAATCTTAAAAACGGAAAATGAATGAATTATTTTCAGTATTGATTACAAAAATAATTAAAAATCCTGTTCAAAAGCGCAAAACTAATACTAATACATCTCAAAAACATACATCTCCAGACTTCATTCATTAATAATTTATCAAGCAGATTAAACCGCATAATTCGTCTGCAAATTGCACATCTTTCACTTTTCTCTCAATATTTCCACTTAACTAACCTCCTCTCAGTTCACAAATCCATCTTAAAATTAAAATAAAACTCTCTCTCTCTTTCTTTCTCTCGTTTCTCTATGGACAATTGGACAATCACTCTCAAAATAATGTCCATTTGCAAAGAAAAAAAAGAAACAGTCTCAAAGCTCCCGAAAGCTTTGCTCTGAAAAAACACTCTTCACACGATTTACGATTCGATCCTCGCGCACGACTCTCTCTGTCGACCTCGAACCCGCGTGAATCCTTCTCGAAGACCTCGCGATATCGCAGGCAAAACACCATCCACGTCGTGCACGCACGACCAACTATCGCTTAAATTGTGTAAAGAGAGGGAATCGAGGATCTATACAAACCTCTCCGATTGTTCGCCTGTCCCAACAGCGTCACTTGTTTGCTATCGCTCTTGTTCACGTCCACGTACACCCCTTCCAGCTGAAAATCACGACCGGGCGGCCTCGAGCCGGGCATAAACCTGAAGAACTCCGCGCCATCCTTGTACCACTTCACGGAGTACAATTCCTCGCCGTCCAGATCGTACTCGCATCTCAGCGCCACTTTTTCCCACCTCGGGTCGGCTATACTCGGCACGTCTATCCTGCGGAGATGGATGGACGAGCCTGAAAAAAAGAAGATTTGTACATTTGTTTTTGGAATTAGTAGAGGCAAAATTTTTGAAATGGGGAATTAAAAGTTGGAATTAGTGGCGGAGAGGAAATATCTTTTTGAAATCATGGACAAAAGTAGAGAGAGAGAAAGAAAGAAGAAGAATTTGGAAATAGGAAGAAATGGAATCGTGGAGTTTTTTCTTGGAATTAGTAATGGAGAGAAATGGAAGGAAAAAGAGGATTCTTTTGGAAGTAAAAGTGGGATATTAGTGATGGAAGATAAATCTTAGAATCTAGAATTTTATGATTCCAGTATATATAGTTGATATATCGTCGCATCGATCACTTTTTCTTTTGACATCGATGTCAGGAATTATTCAAAAAACAAAAATTTAGTCCACCACAAGTTTAAATCACTATTTTACTTTTAAACCTAACTATCAATTTTATTCAAACTTATATTACTTAATACACTGAATGCAATACCAATTACTTATTTCTTTATTTGGTCCATTATATTTGGATTAAATTGAACCCTTTGTTCTTTAAATCACGTTCTTTCTCCACAACTTTAAACGATTCAAAATTGCTCAAATTATATGAAAGAGAATTTCTGCAAGAGTATTAGATTGGATACACACTGTTTTCAAATATATATGAAAAAAAAAAAAGAAAAAAAGAGATTATCACACAAATCAACGAAGAATATTCAAAGCAAGCGAAAAGTCTTCTCGTTCATTTAACGAACGACAGCGTGAAAAATACGACAGAATTTGTCCAGTTGGCCTGTCGCGTAAACAAGCGTCGAAAAAGTTTACAGAGAAAGCTAGTCGAACTCCATTTGCCGGTCGACTGGGTGTGGAAAAAAAAAATAGCAATTATTGGTGTAATGGGTAGGTGTTGAAAAAAAAAAAAAAAAAAAAAGAGAGAAACCTCGAATCCCTACAAGGGAGTAATTTCCTCTCCCTCCCGCCCCTTCTCATTCTCTCTCTACCAAACGAATGTTTTTAACACGGTCGCATTAATTTGTTTATCGCCGCTTCGTCGAGCAAGCGTGGCAAATAGCTGGCTAATTAAAAATATCCGATCCGGCCATGCGTTTGTATAATTATCGTCCTCGAAAATGCAATCGAACATTTTTCGAGTGGTTGTACGCCGTAAAACGGCAATATTTTCGCATGGAATCGATTGTGAAATTTGTATTCCTTTGTCGCGCCGTTTGATAAGTTTTCGCCGTATTCGAGAGAATATTTGATTGCTTAATTAGAGGGCGTTGATTTTGCGTTAATTTTTCAAGCACCGTTGAAAATTGCCGATTGGGGCGAGGTTCTAATTATTGTTATTATCGTATTCGATTTTTAGTACGAACATCTACAAAAAGGAAAACGTCAAAATGTTTCTTATCGTTCTCGTCTAGAAAATTCAATTTTTTTTTTTTTTTTTTTTATAATAAAAATCAATCAAAAGATCCTGATCGATTTTTCTTCAGAAACGTGCACACCATTGATAAATTTTTGCCATTGTTGTATATTATACAATTTCTGCTTTTGTGATTTCGAATAAACGAAATAATCATCTCGTTAAAAAAGTTTTTTACCAATTTTTCGCAACATATAAAAAAAATGCGCAATGAAAGGAAACCAAAAATTCGAAACTGATAAAATTCTGCTAAAATTCCAAACCAACCGAATAACCCTCATCAATCTCAACTCGGATCGTTCCCATCACCCCTTCCCCCATTCCCTTTTCCATCGAAGAAAGAATTCAGTGGCCAAAAAACGATATTCCTCGAGATCGTAATACTCGTTCCACGTCAAATCGCGAGCCAACTACGTGCCACTTAAAACAATAACCGGATCCGTCGTTCGCGTCGTTCGCAATCGAAACGAGAAAGAGATAAAAAGAGAAAAAAAGAGACAGAGAGATAGAGATAGAGATAGAGAGAGAGAGATACACGTAGCAGCGCGTGAAGAGGAAGGGAGTGGAAGATGGCGATGGAATAGGGAATGGAGATGGCATCCGGTATTCGAGACACGAGCAAAAGCGGCGAAGTAGTAGAATTCGTGAATGATTTCCAGATCGTGCGAATTTGTCATGCGCTTGGCACACGAGTCGAACCGCGAACGGACACGATAAAACCGTGAACAAGCGGAATTATCCTCTTTCCAAGGGTTGGTGGGGTGGAATCGGGACGAAATGATTGCGTGAAAGGCGTCGAAGGCGGCGTTCGAGCCATTAAACGGGGGAATGGCCGATTTATTGTTTCTGCTAGCGAATATTCATTTTTGAGATTGCGCGAAAGTTGTGAAAATGAGAATGGGTTGTTTGGGATCGGCGAGAAGAATTAGTTGGCAATGAGCGAAGTATTTTCGAATGATAAATGATTATTATACCGATAATAAGGATTTTGAAAACGAAATTTTGAATAGGATTGTGGGGGGGAAAGAGAAGGGTTTTTCGTTCTTTTGTATATTTAAAATTTTTAACTTTTTTATATTTCGTTAAATGAAATTGTGAAATATTTGAACGAAAGAATATTTAGATGTTTTTTAAAATATAATTTAAATTATGTCGTATGAAGTTTTGAAAATTATTTTTCATTTCAAACGTAATACATTTGGACAGATTTTTTCTTTTTCCACTACGAGTTTCGTTTTCCCCTTTGGCAAATCTTTCAACAATTCATCAATAAGAAGGAAAATAAAATAGTTATTTGGAGGGAATAAAACGATCGTAAATCCGTGATTGTTCCACACGACTGCAATCTTTCGAACATTTTCGCGGAACTGTTGAATCTCTTATAGCGTGAATCGCTAGAGATCTTTGCTCCCTGTTTACGAGTCGACGCGAATAGGTTTTATTTATTTTGAAACGGGAATTTTTCAACGATTAAAAAAGTCAATATTAATTTTAAGAAGAAAATGTAATACGATAGAGAATAAAAGTTCGATATTAAGGGAAAAAAATGCTAAGAGATAATTAATATATTCGTGATGAGACACGTTTGAAAGATAAAAAACAAACGAATAAAAGAATGTTGATTGTTTACTTAAAATTGTAATTTAAGTTTGCATCAGAAGTTTGAAAAAATTCTAGATTTCACAGGATATTTCAATTAATCAAAGTTTCTAATTTTTCAAAATCTATTCAAAGGATAAAAATGTTGAAGAGGGACTTCGAGGAAAGAAATTTAATTCGCGGTTTATATTATGCATCTAAAAGTTGGCCGGGATCAAATCAGTCTGACACGTAGATTATTGCAAGGTTCAGAAGAAAAGTTAAACACAAAGATGTATTTTCTACGAGTTGCGGTAACTTTCGACTTCGAAAACTTTTCACGTCCACGGCAAAGCTTTACGAAACGTTTTCAGTCAAGTGCACCAATCTAGAACCGCGGCCACTCAACGTTGATTTTTCTTGAAAATCGAGGCTCATCCAACGGTATCGTAACTTTGCATTCCTTGTTCTTTTTATTATATCTCTCGTCTTAAATATTGATAACGTTTACAAAATATCTTTTAATTATTCATCGCCTCGATGAAAGTAAAATAACATTTGTTATGAATAATTTAATGAAATTTTCTGCAATATGATCAGCCTCTCGAATATTATAGATATAAATTATCTATATCATGGATTAAGGAAATTATAAATTAAAATTATTATTCCAAGTAATTATTGTACAAAAATAATCAAGTATCTATTTATTTGCTTTTAAAATTTTATTTTTATTTGTACAATATCTAAACTCTTTCTCAAATGTAATAAAAGTGTTAAAAATTTAAAAATATAGATATATTTCGTTTTTTGGCTTCGCTTCTCTCAATTGTTTTCACGGTACATTTTTTGAAGAAAATTCCGCTTACGAATTGTAAATTCGAGGTAGTTTTTTAATCCAACGTGATAAAAGTTTGAGAAGGTACTTTGCATTCACAAACGAGCTTCCTCCTCTTTTACTGATTGGAAGCAACGCGCACGAAATAAAGCCGAACGTATTAAATATTTATTGACAAGGAAATCAGACATCTGTTGAAAAATAAATCGAACTGACCAGTTTCTCAAATATGAAATTAATTTCGTAGAGCTTAATAAAAGAAAGAAATCTTTTTCGTGATTATAAATTAAAATATCTCCTCCTAGATGATAATTAAAATTTTTTTTTATAAAAGTGTGAATCAGATAACGATTTTGATTTGAATTTTCTTAAAAAATCTATTCTTTCCTATTTTAAACGTTGTAAGCAAATGAATTAAATAGTCTTATAAGAATCACTCACTAATCGATTTCTTTTTTATATGGAATTTTATTGAGAATCAAATTTTTTTAATTTTCTTAATTTTCGAAATAAATATTGAAATTTTCAAGAAATCATAACTCGATTTATAGTTCTTTTATTTCGTCATTCTCCCATTTATTTTAAGAATAAATATCAAAACATTTTTCTTGCATAATTAAATATCACGAATGATTTCACATGTCAATTCGTATTCGCTTTTGTATCTCGTAAAAATAATAAAAGATTCATAACGCACATTATGATTGACATAATCCAAGAAAATCGCGTTCGCAAAATATCGGTTGATTCGAAGTGACAGGTGCATCCATTTTGTTTCGCCACAACGAATAATTGATCACAAACTGTTGAATCAATAAACGTGTTGAACTGTATATACGGAAATACAGTGTAGAGGTTAGTGTTTAAAAATTAATAACGTGACAAGTTAGATTGCTTTCCACGAAGCATCATGATCGAAAGGTCCAGAGCGACCGATTTGTTCCATCTCATCGATATGTTCTATTTGCAATGACAGTTCTATGTGAAAATTGATGAAATATCTACGCGTTTTTTGATTTTCATTGAAAGATTCGATATCGTGTCATCTTTCTTTTATACGACTCAAATTTTGTTAAAAATCAAATGAATTCAATCGTGTCGATAAACTTAATAAGATTTCCTACTTAATTTATTTTTAATTAGTTTAAAAAAAGATGCAAAAATAAACAGAATATCA